CTCCTCCCATCGTGCAATGGAAGACGTTTCCATCTAAAAAATTCTTAAGGGATTTAATGGGGTAGGCCAATGGGATCAAGTTGGCAGTTTTCTCGAAAAATTGATTGAAAGAATGCAAAGAAGTATTGATTGATTTTATGGCAAATAATTTTTGGGGTCTCCTTAATGCCTAAAAAAAGAAAAAGAAATTCTCGCTGTCTGAACGCCCTTGGTTTCTATACGTCCTTGTGGGACCAAAACAAAGTGTCAGACAACCCGTCTGTACACCGCGTGAGTGCGAATGAGTATTGTGTTGTTTTCTCACTCCGCCACGTCATTGCATGCCCAAAAACGTTATAGGTTGATGGAAAATGAAACGAGACTCTCAACGCTTCTATTTTAGCGCGCAGTCCAGATTTTGTCAAAATTTTTTTTTCTCCAGTTTGTGTGCGGGGAAATTATTCAGAAATTCGTAATTATTCATCAGCGAAGTACATCCGCGTGAATTTTCTGCTGAACTCTCTTGATAGTAATAAGATCAACAAGTAGCGGTAGGAATTTCGAGGAATCTTATGAAAAAATTGCGGAGTAGAAATACATGAAATTTGTTTATGAGAATTGAGAGATGTCGTTGGCGTAACATTCGTGCATCCATTTTTCTGCAAATCCAAAATTGCTTGTAAATCATTAAGCACAGACGATACTCAATTAACCCTATCAGTAGGCGCGTTATCGCCCGAACGTACTTTGGGCACTTATAGTCCAGTCGAGGGGCGAAATAAATCGGGTTTGTTAACGACTTTTCTTCGATATTCACCGATTTGGATGTTTTTTTTTTAATACTCGGAAGAGCACCAGCAACAAACGTGATCGAAAATCCGGGCCCGTTTGTTTTAAATAAAAAATACCTCTTGGTCGAGTCACTTTGGATTGAAATATCTCGAAAACTATTGAGAAGTTATCGAGACATACAGTGGATGAAGATAGGTAATGTTATTGTTAATAAAACGGTTTTTTATTTAAGTCTTTAAGACTAAATAGCACGAGTCAGCGCGGGCGTCGCGCTATAAACAAATAACGGTTCCCGCGCTTTCAGATGTTTCTGAGTCATCTGAGCCTAACTTCTTGAGACACTTTTTTGCGAAATTTTTAAGGGAGTTGGAAAAATTTGGAAATTTGTTTCAAAAGATCGTATAAACACGTTCCCAGGGAATAATGAATCTCCACGTTTCAGATGGTTCTGAATCATCTCAGCCTAACTTTTGGGGATACTTTTTTTCGAAATTTTCAAGGGAGTTTGGAAAAATTTGGAAATTTGTGCCAAAAGGTCGTGTAAACACGTACCCACGGAATGGTGAACATCCACGTTTCAGATGATTTTGACTCATCTGAACCTAACTTTTTGAAACCTTTTTTTTTTTATTTCCCAGGGAATTTTACAAAATTTTTTAAAATTATAACAAAAAGACGTGAAACTTTTTCTCAGGGAATGATTAATCTCTGCGTTTCGGATTAGGGGTGTGCGAATATTCAAAACTTTGAATAATTTATAACGAATTGAATTCGAATCTTCAATTCGATTTCCAAATAATTTTTATCATGCTGTAGTTTGTTTTGTTGTCAACCCCTGAATCCGAGTTTTAAAAAAACTGAGACAATTCATGCTTGAAAAATCCAGCAGGAAAGCCCTCAATAGAAAAATGCAAACTGATATCAATTGTATATTTCGTTAAGTCGAAAATAATAATAAAAAAATAGGAAATTGAGGGAATTATGATTTTTCGAACATTGTCGTTGTTTTTTTTTCGATGAATATTTCTGAGTGATTCTTATTTCTATTTTTTCCATCGAAACTAATTCGAATTTAGAATTATTCCCCTTCGGCATACCAAATCAATATGAACAATTTTCAAAAAGAGTGGTCAAGCGTGGCATTCCATCCTATTCTACGGGTTCTTTATAGCCAGACGTTTTGTTTTCAACGACAATTATTTCGAAACCCATTTATTCTTCATTGCCCAAAAGTCATCAATTGAATACATTCAATTTAGGACATGTGCAAAATTTTCGTGTAAATTTGAGTTTGGCAGTATCAAAATCCCAAGCGCTTGCGCAAGGAATTTTGTGCCAAACTGGACGCACATGTTGCTGTGCAAGGAAACTTAAGAGAAATGCTCGATTACTTTTCAAGCACGAGGAGTATTCGGCGGATTATTCCCCACCATCAAATCGCGGTCAATGGCAGGTGGGGTTGGACATTCTCGTGATTCTATGAAGGATTTTGACGTGGACACGTCTTTGTTTTTTTACAATACAATATTCAGCTACCTTCATTTCGACAAACGTCAATAATTTTTTGTGTTTGTCTCAATTGTTTCGGGTTAGAATTTGAAGGTTTTCGCTTATTGTTTAATAATAGCCGCAGTACAACCGTAAATTATGGATATCATACGCACCACACGATGTCAAATCCCATGCTCTTATCGGTCGAGATTCGATTGTGGGGAATAACCATGGTGATTTTCTATTCTAAAGAGTTGTTAAAAAAAAATCAACAGAAAGATTTTTTGAAGTTTTGATATTTTGGAATTTCTTGTTCTTCCCATAAATGAATAGAGGAGAAATTTCTAAATTATCTCCTACATCTAATTCGAGTTTGAAGCTAATAAAATGTGGAATTCCCCTATGAAATAAGGAATAAGCATAAACAATATTCAAAATGAGTCGTTAGATATGACATGTTCAGAATGTTTTGTGGACTTTATGCAGTAGAACTTGTGTTCTCACATGATAGTCATTTTACAAATCCATGTTTTCATTACGCTGGAAGAATAAGTCACTTTTTTAAACCTCTTCTTTCCCCGTATTGTCCTGAAAAAAAAAGTGGAAAAGTGGCCTTGTGTTTGGACATGGAACTGCTCATATCTCAAATAGATCATGTGAAGACTAATTTGTCACCCCGGTGGAATATGCTATTTTGCTAATCGAGATTTGAATGAGGAGAATAACCGACATAGTGCTCTTCTAATTGAACCATGGGACGTCGAATACCGCGATTCTATTGTTCAACATAATTAGCAGTAATACTCAGAGTACTACTCTGAAATTGTCTGATGTTTTTCGATTATTTTGATTAGTAGCAAATGAAAAACCCGATTTATTTTGAAGGTTGAATAGTATTTGATGGATTATTTTTGGCATGCGGGCAAAGACCAGTAAAGTTCTCTCTTACACACCTATGTATATTCCAGATATGACTCAATTATTGACTGATACTTGTCTGAATTTTTCTTCATTGATTCCTTCGCAATATTTTTTTCCAAAAAGGGCTCATTTTCACTGGCCTTGTGAGTTTCGAATACTGAATACTAAACTCTCATTCATCCGGTGTAAACCAGATCCGGTTGTCAAAAAGAGTTTGGAGAATACCCCTCGTTCTCTGAAATTGATAGAGTATTTCCTTCAAATTATCTTCCTGAAGAACATGACCGTTCACATTTGTCTCTGTAATGTCAGGTGATTGGACGATAATGTTAAAGCGCTCGGAGGATTATAGCCGATAATTATTTAGGCGAGGATGAATTTCTCTGGAGAATCTTACCGAAAATAACCCTCAATATTCTCCTAGTATCAGCGCTATCACGAGGAAGACATAACTCGTTATGATCTAACATGTCCCATTGTTTTCCGGTATTTATGACTTCACTTAAAATTAGTTATTTCTTCCCCTGCAAAAATATTTCTGTTTTTTTTTAAAAAGAAATCATTTGTTTCTCAAGTGAAATACAAAAAGCAACTTACATAAAGAAATCACAGTATCTTTCTCTGTAAACAGGATATGGGACTATCGTCATTTATAAACTCTATTCGATGATTGATTATGTGGTTATATACTTTCCCTTCAAAAATACGTAAACAGGCGAAAAATGTTATCCATTCATTGAAATTGGCTTATTTCTTCGCAAAAAGGATTTCTTAAAAAATATAGTTTTCGCAATCAGTACCAGATTAATGAGAATAAGACCCTATAATATAACATAACTCTATGGGAAAATGCAGCTAAATCTCCAGAATTAACTCTTCCACTCGTCATATATTTTTTATTTCCGTTTCAGCAAAAATGCGTGAAACGCTCCCGTTCTGCGCTATTTACAGGCATAAAGAAAAAGCACACACAGTCGTATCCTCAAATTTGTTGTGGTTGACTGATTCATCGGGTGAGCCTACCCAGCCTGTCAATTTCAAGATTTTAAAGAATTTGTTGTAAAATAATGATACATGCAGACTAGTCAATGACAAGGGAGAAGTTATAGACCGTGTGAGTGTAATGAAAATCAGCAATACAAAAACCGAAATTCAGAATTATTTGAACTCGACGAAAAGGCTAGTTGTACCACCATGCAGAAGTTTTGGAGAGATTAAAGGGTCAGTTGATCTCACATCAAAATCCAAGAAATCCCTCAAATCCAAGTCACCAGCCCATCAAATCAAAAAGAAGACCGCCTCCAAGGGTAAGAGCGATGCTGTTCAGGAAGTGAAAAGGAGAGCCGATGATATTATTGCTAAACGATTTGAAGAAAATGATGGCTCAGGGACTCAGACTCGGGCTGGCAAATTCGTACTGACGCGAAGAGAAGTGAGTTTTTTGTCTACTCTTACATGTGCATTTGTTGCAATTTTTTTCATTTCGACGATTGCTCACGAAACGAGTGAAGAATCATGTCTGCTCCAGACAGGGTTCATAAAAAAATTTATCCTAAGACTAGGGGGTCTCAAGATTCATATGAACACTAGCCTGAAATCTCATGCTCTCAGTCTCCTAACAGCTGCATGAATGGTATGAATGCATTGAGAAGTACAAATGACATGAAGTAGTGCATATTGAAAGACGAATAATGTAATTTCCGAACTCGAAAAAACTCATGAATGTATGCAAATAACGAGCTTTTACATGGATTTTGAGATTCCCTAGCTATATCTTTAGTGTTATTAAAAACCCTCGATTTAGGCATTCGACAGCAAGAGTTTCGATTGCAACCCTTCGACTTCAATAGTTGTTTTTTTTTTTCAATCTATAGCCTGAGGAATCACTCGTCCCTGAAAGCTCTTCAGACAAAGCCGCGAATAGATCCCACCGACTAAATGTTACGACCCCTTCTCGAACGTTCAAACGTTCTAAACGTAAAAAGTCAGCTGGCAATGACAATGAAGTAAGTTGCTCCAAATTTGTAAATTGTAAATTGTATCCATTGAAAGAACAATATTTTCTGACAAATTTTTCTCTGTGAATAGCCCGAGGAATCATCCGGCCAAGAAAGCTCTCCAGACGAGATCGAAGATGAACCCCTCAGACCAAGTGTTACGGTCCCCCCTCGAAGGATTAAACGTTCGAAACGGAAAAAATCAACTGGAAATGACAAAAAAGTAAGTTACTACGAATTCAGAAATTATACATTAAATCAATAGAAGTATTAATATTTTCTCACAAATTTTCCTCTGTGACTAGAGCCATAGGCGGGTATTATGAATTGAAGGCTTGAAAAATATTCCATTGGGCGCGTAATGTTTTGAACGGAAAAGAAGTAGCGCGTTCTAGATGAACGAGATGTAATAAGTAAAAAATCCCATGATCGTGTTCCAATACTGAGATTAATTTGGATCTTTTTCTGTTTCGTAGGCTAACTACGAAAACCAATCATTGTCTGTTCATAAAAAAGATTCCATTCAATGAAAAAATTAAATATCTCAATCTCACTTGCTACACAGTGACGTTATTTCTTTTTGGTAGTTGAAGTGTAGACCATAAGTTTTCTACATTAGTACACATCGCACTATCAAAAACCAGCGTCTATAACGTTCAAAATATATTTAAAAATCTGAACTTCACATTTAATTCGATGCTTATCCATGTTCTGGACATGTTTTTTCCTCATAGAAATTTCTACCAGTGAATGTAATTCATGACAAGCTGCAACAAAAATATTCAAAAAATTATTCATTGGTAGAATACTGAATTTCATTTATAGAAAACTTCTTCACGGTTATATCACATTGCCGAAGACAAATAAATTCATCAAGATAGTGCATTAATATTTGTCTTCGATTTCTCAATTTCTCGATAATCTCGGGCATTATCTTTATGATTTTTCAAACATTCTTCCATTTGGCTTTCTCCTTGGAAATTATTCTCCCCATTTATCTCTTGCCCAGATCGTTTCCTTCTGAGAGTGTTTATGGTATGGTTAGACAGAGAAACACATAACGATATTGTTGATTTGTTATGAATAGGTTTTTTGATGTATCAAGAACGTACCTCGGCCAAGTGGGAATGTCTGCCAACTAACGTAGGCGAATCGTAACGGCGAAAGTAATTTCTAAGGATGACATTCATGCATTAGATGGACTGGGGCATAAGTTGCACTTTAAGAGATTGATTTTATTGTTACTATTCTCTTCTGCTACCTGCGGCGTGGAAGAGTTTTTTAATGCTCCAAAGAACGTCTTTATTAGAAAATTATCAATATCTTGCCTTTTTTTTATTGGTCACAGTTATTTACATGGGAAAACTCAATTCTAACTGTAGATAATTTCTATAAAAAAATAATGTGGTTAATACTTTGGTTTTTTATTTTACAGTGTAGAAAATTATCGTGCTCTGACGACACAGGGGAGAAGGAAGACACTGCAGGAGATTCAAAAAGTGAGGAAGATGCTACTTTGGAGGAAGCTGGAGCAAAAATTCGAGGTGGAAACGACAACGAAGAACAAGAAGAAGAAAGTGAAGATGGAACAAAAGAAGAAGAGAATAAAGTAGATGAAAGTGAAAATGAACACTCGAATGACGCGAGCTTAGTCGGTGTCGCAAAATCATCTTTTGCTCCCCCTGTCAAGACGGTTGGACGTGGCAATCGTTCAAAACTCTATACCAGACTGAACACAGTGAGTTTTCTACAAATCACGAAAATTTTTCGCGAGTGTGGGTTCCTCGTCTGTATAATCATAGATTTCCCAATTGATATAACCCTTAAGTGGTCGCAGCTCTCTACCAAACGTAATTGGTCTCATGGTAAGAGAATCCTAGTCTATTTAGCGATTTCATAATCTAAGAAGCTAAGAAACAAAGGTAAAGAAGAAGAAAATGTCTCAGGTGAACCTAGAACCTGATCTACTTCGGTGCATTCTAATTTATTTTGATGTTATACATTGCGGTATCCAGCGAGAGGATATCTCAGAACATTCTAATGATTTTATAGTGTGAGTCAGAACCAAAAAAATTGTTAATATCTCCAAAAAATTTGAATACAAGAAAGAAAATCTTCTACGATCTTTCAAACCCTCACAGTTTTTGTGTTTAGAGAAAAAAAATAGCGAGAATTCCTCCAGTCTGCAACCACTAAAAGGTTAATATTCCTCTTCATGATCCTGTTAATTACATCTATGCTCAAGCGTTCATTTAACCTTGAACTTTTCTTTCAAATGTTCAACTGCAAATGAATTCTTCTCTTGCAGTTGAAATGTACTCAATGAATTCCTCTTCTATTCTAACTAATGAATCGATTCTTGTACCTATATTGCTTTCAATTCGGAACATCAAAATATTATCATTTTTCCATAGTAACTTTCTTTTTCAGAACATTTGTCTAATTTTTTCTTTCTTCAAGTGATATTAATCCCCACTTGTTGAAGATTTTTTTCCAATATGATGCTGTAGCTCGAGCTATTTATAACGGGCTGCTCCTTACAGGCTAGAATTCGCTCCAACTGTAAAATAAAAGGATCCACCTTCCAAAAAGATCGACGATGATGAGACAGAAGAGGAGACTGAGAAAAGTCCGGGAATGAAAGATACGCCAGAACGAGTTGACGAAAAAAAGGGAGAAGAAACAGACGGAGAAGAAGAATCAGATGGCTCGACTGTTTCCAGTGAGGCGAAGAAAAAAGTAAGTTCTTCAGCTTATAAGTGTTTTCGCTGATTATTGGTATGGTTTCGTACCTTGAAAATTTAGATTTCGTTAAAGCTTCTCATATAGTGTTATCATGACAAAAAAACCCAAAAAATTCTTTTCTCAATATTTTTTAATATCAGTACTCCTACTATGTCCAATTCCATTTTTTTTAGTTCTTGATGTTTTTTTCCTTCGTCAGCTGTAAATGATTTCTTCCCAGTTTTCAATATATATTTCCAACGGATCCTCGCCGTTCTTACGATTGAACATCGTTCCAATCAACTAAGTTCATTGAAAATGGCTTGGAATTATGTAAAAAAGTAGAAAAATGAGAATTTTACTCCCGTTCTCAATCCCAGATTCCTTTTCTTTCCTACTCAAAGTACTAATATCAGTAATATTAGAAAATCAGAGTGGGTGCTCACTGCGTTCTACAAAAAAAAAGTAATAAAATTTTTTTCCAGATTAGTTTTTATAAACTCTTCGAATTTTTAATTATTGTAATTCATTTCATTTGAAAGCTTGGTATTTCCAATAGAATTAATTTTAAATTTCGCTACATAGCAAATGGAAAAGGAAAATGATTAAATAAAGGAAATTATTTCTTGATACAACAGAGTGAGAATCCACTTTTCTTGATGTAACCAGTAAGATTTAAACAGAAGAAGAGATTTAAAATCTATGGGCGGGGGGGGGAGAAAGAAAGTACAATAATCGGCCATTTTCGCACTCTTAGTAGTATTGAGTCTTGTTCGATTGAGTGAGTTGGTTACAACCCTGCTCTATTGAAAGAACGGAAAATTCGCCGCAGAGATAATTAAAACGGAGAAAAAAAATTATCTTTGCCGAAATAACAAAATTCGTAACAAACTGGAAAAACGGAATTGACGTAGAGATTTTGACGCAATTGAAGGCGAACCTTTTTGATGATAATGCCGTGATCTGAGAAGCCTCTACAAACTCCAAATTTCGTACAATAGCACGCCGAATATTGACAGGAACGCCATGCAGAAATCTATCTGCCTAATCACTGCATCATGGAGATGGAGAGAGATGAAACTCAGTTCTCTCTACAGGAGATTATAAGCAACGAAATGGATTTTGTAATTTTTTATGATCATGGAATTTTTTTGTAATACCTATTCATTTTTTAGTCTGCTATATTCGGGATTGAAATATGACCAAGCAAAATTCATTAGAATTTTTTTTATTTCATCAAAATTCGATCAAACCTTTTTTTTTCTCACGTTTTACCTCAGCTAACTTTAACAATGGTCATAATGGAAAATTTATTCACCTCCAATACAATCACGGTTAAAATTTCTTACTTGGGAATTTTCAAGAAAAACATGATTTCGCTATTTGTGGTGCGAGACATAGACCGTTATTTTCTTGATGTGAAATTGGAACTCGTCATCAATAACAGTCTAGGATTTGAAATACTCCACTAGGCTTGGTTTGAGAATATGATACTTTATGACACAATGAAATAATATGAAAAACATTAAAATTCATCAATTCGCGGTAGTGAAGGAAATCACGATCCACTGAGTGGTCTAAAACCTTATAACAATCCATAGGCAAATATGTCAGAGGGAAAGGATGACTCAAGAAAGGACTGTTACAATTTCTCTGATAGTGACCTCTCACCGAGTGAATCAGACGGACGAGAGGAAATAAGAAGAAGAGTGAGTGAGAACTATCTATGTCATAGATTCTATAATATTATATTAGGGGCACGATCATAAATTGAAACAAGGAGATGAGAAAAGAACAGATTGATCCAGGATTGATAAAGTCTATTGTATTCTACTCATTCGTCGAACATGGATGAAGAGAGAGTAATTGACCTTATTGATATCGAAATACGAGGCCAGTAAACTCCCTTAATTTACTTGGAACGAGATTAATAAGGATGGCAATTTCACTTGGTGATATACATGTAATATCTAAGTTAAAACCTTTATCAAATTGAAAAGTTTCATGTCAATCAAATCAATTCTCAAACTTTCCTTGATTCCAGAAAGAAAAACGTGATTCCATTATTTGAATATGCTGAGTTGATAACAAGAAAAACCTTCTGTTCAGTTGATTTATTCTTTATTCCTATATAAATTATACAAGAAAAATTGCTCCTTTAAGTAGTTCAAAATTATAATAGTTTAGCCTTTCTAGGGTTGAACATTCCGTACGAACCGTCACGCACTTCGATGACTCAATATATAAATTTCTTAAGTTTTATCCGAAAAATGTGGCAGAGGATCAACTGAAAATAATATATTACGATACAAGTGAAGAAAATTGGTTGTTGATGAGTGTGAGAGTTACAGGCCCAGCTGAAGGCAAGGTCTGTAATCAAACTCGTCAGAAAGTACTTTTCTTCATGTGTATCGTACGATATTTTATGTCTATTTGCTTTGTGGTTTGATTTGTTTCATTTACTTTATTAATTGATAATCAATTGATAAAGCGTCGGAGAAAAACCATTTGTTACATTTTTCCTCTCCAAATGACGCCTTTAAACTAGCATCACAGTTTGTGCTTTCAGTAGTGTGACACTCTGTATCATGTCGGAAATATTGGAATAACTTGTACCTTCGTTACTTGCCTGAGGGGCCCACATCTTTCGTTCCCTATGAAATTCAATAGATTATTGCTCTGGATTTTTTCGCCACAAAATGATCTTTTATGCTTGTTGAAGAATTACGTTTTCGATGCGTGTAGTGACAATTCTTCCCTTTGACTTGGCGTCGTCATTCACCACGTTCAATTCTTCTTGTTAGAGCAATTACAGCAAATTTATATATCATAAAAACATATCCTTATCCGTTGAAAAAATAATACAATTTCTCTCAAAGTTTTTAGGACAGTGAGAAAACGTCATTTAGATATTTCCACGTTTCTAAAAATGTTGAAAATTATTCGTTCCGCTCTGCTACATGACCATTGACATTATTTCATTTTCTGATTCATTCGATCTTCCAGGAGAATGTATACATGATAATCGATTATTTTCCTGATTTATAGTGCAGAGCGGGAAGAGGAGTGAGAACACCATTAGTTGTCCAAGATTCAACTGACGATGAAGTAGAAGATCCTAAAAAACAGAGTAAAGGCGATCGAGATTCCTCCACTTTGATCGGAGATACTGGTGAACAATCACGCGTAAGCGAAAAATGAATTGAAAAATCTTGCGGGTTTGCTAAAAAAAATTCTTTTGCATATTTTATTAAAGTTCTCATCGTTCTTGGCTGTATGTATTGGAAAATTTTGAGCCTCATTAGCGCGTTTTATCATGAATAGTTTTTAAAAGGAATGCAAATAAAAAAGAACAACGTTTCAATCTTCCTATACTCATATAGCCATCATCAGCTACATAAGTTTATCGAAAGTTAATTCCCATGAGAGTAATTCCCCTACATTATTCATTTCTTTCACTAGCAGGCCTCAACTTATCACAGCGTCACTACTAAATTTGATAAATTCCGATTTATTCTGGAGTATAATTCTTCAACTTGTGTTTGGAGCTCGACCATATAGTCAAATGAAACCCCATTTTACTCACCTCCTAGTAATTAAAAATAATACTTGGAAAAATGTTTAGTGGCAAATATTCATATGACAATTTTTTCAATACATTTTCCATGCAATCAAGATATTTCCGATAAGTTGTAACGGCTTCAATTTTCCATTTTTGAAAAGTTGATTTTCTTATTGCGCTTTCTTTGACGATTTTTTTCTATTTGCGTAGGGGCGTTCCTTTAGATTTTTTTTTTCAATTTCGACGTTTTTTTTTACGTTTCCAACTCGGCACGCTCTTTTCTGTTAGGCTTCAAAATGTCATTCGTGTAAAATCTTATTTTCTTCGAAGAACATCCACATTGATAAAAAATCATTTCATGAATATCATCATAATGTAAAAATATCACGTCTTACAAACATCAAAATATCAACTATTCACCTGACAACTCCTCGCTTCCTACTCAGAAAGCAATATTGTATGTATATTGTATGTAAGCAATATTGTAGGGAATATGCTTTCCAGGGCGAGGGGCGAATATTATTTTTCGTTCCGCCGGCCCTGGAAAAGCCCAATTTCGTAGCGCGCAGTGTCACGCGATACAAAAGGAATGTATATCATAACCGAGGATGAGGCCGGCACCGTATTCTTGTTTTCTTATTCAAATTGAATTGTCATTGAAATTATAAAAAATTGCTAAGTAGTGGCTGGTAGTTTAATTTACTCCTCAATACTCAACTGGAAACAATGAAAATATTGAAGCAAATGTTCACGTATCAAAATTCTTGTAGTCATCCTTTTGACGAAAAAAACATTATCATGAAAGAAATTGAAGACTCCGCAAATTATTAAATCATATTCGTTCAAGACTGGTAGTTAGGAACTGAAGAGAAAAATATTATTCTCTTCCGGTACTTGACAATTGATGCCATTCATATTTTTGATATCACTAATCTCCGTTTTTTTGTCCGTATCATCTTTCTATAACCAGTCAATCTGACGATCATTAATTTATTCTCTCATTTTTAGGATGATTCAGGAAATTCAGATGAAGAAAGTTTTAACCCCCGGCAGGTAATAATTCTTTGGCATAGCTTCATATGATATTTAGAAAGAGTAAACACTTGATACTCTGTGATGATTCATTTTTTAATTAACCATGACACCGTTTCCACTGCTTATGATTTCTAGACGGTGTACGCTGTTATTGAGGAAGTACCAACCCCTCGCAATACTTCTAAATCCCCGAAAGTAGTTGATTCCACTTCAAAAAAAGTGAACTCAGCAGAAGCTGCCATGAACAAAGTATGATCTTCACTCATTGTTTCAGAATGATCTGGATAAAGCAATAATTCTCAATAAATTCTCTTTATAGAATTATTCTATAATATTGATTAATCACAAACGCCATACGCTTTGGATAAACAAACTCTACAGAAAATCTACCGCATCCCCTGGTAATTCTGTCTGCGAAGATCTGAGTGAATTCCTTTTTGTTTCATAGGAACTCTCTCACTTGAAGTGGTTTTTTCTCCCTCAACAGTAATTTTTGTTGCAATTTAGAATATTTTACTGATTCTGTTTTGATCTTCCCTATGAGAATTCTCTGACTTCGATTTTCTATTCTTTCTTCTCCAATTGAGCAATAAAAATAAGTAATGAAAACCAACCGAAATAAAAGGCCAGAAATCTAAAATATCGATGTTCGAAAATTTGCATTTCAAATTTGAACTGTCGAAATAATTGTAATCCAATTGCCTCAAAATTTCAATCAAAATGCAATAGTTCCCTAATTCCCTAACGAACGCGTGGAGTTAATTTGAAATAAATTATCTCGAATTTCGCAACTCACTAAATACTCTATGCGTATACTTTCTAGTCTAAGCAGAAAAATGATGGGAAGAAGGTGGATGGGGAGAAAACTAATATGAGAAAAGACAAATTCGCTGAAGAAAGTATCGAACGTCTTCCAAGCGAGGAACCCTTACGGGAATCGAATAATAATGAGATCCTAATTGCTGCATACATGGAAGAGGTATGAGAACCTTGATTTCTATTCTTAGAATAATTGCCATGTGCTTTATTCAAACATTTATATTAAATACACATGGGTCAGTAAATGGTTCTCAAGACAATCTATCCTATTGCAAACTGTTGAGAACATTGTGTAAAAATGATTTTGCAATCACTGAGCCCGGTAGATATTTGAACAACAACGTAAAACATTGGTTGACCAAACTAGGTTCATCACTTGAGGTTCTCCTCCCACTTTGATTCTTATTCGATTTGAGGTACCTCCCTAAAGATTTAAATTTCGTGTGTTATCAATTTCTGACAGTATATATTTCCAAAATTCTAGTTGAAAAGATACTGGAAATTTCCTGGATCGATCTTGAATGTACTCAAAACATATCTTCCGCAATTCGCACTTTTTTGTAAGCTAGTCAAAAATTCTCGACAATTGTTGCTTCTTCATTTTTAGAAAAAAATTAATGTGCTAATGTGTGGCATCATAAACCACAATATTTGAAAAATAATTGTATGCGGCCCGAGAAAAATTTTGGTGCCCACAACCAGTTTTTCGGTGCTGCACAATCCTTTTTCTGTATGCAATTTCTAACTCGACTATGATGCTAACACAGGAACTTTTCTAGAAAATTTTTCCTCAATGTAGGCAATGAATTTATACTATATGAAGATTATTTTCAAATTTTTCTCTTACATAAAAGTATAAATATGATTAATTTAAGAAAAAACAAATTCACGATCGGCAGCTTCAACTCTTAAGAAGAGAGAAAGAAGAATGGCTTCACGAGAAAAAAAATTTACTTCAAAAATTAACACAATATCAAGAAGACCGTGAGCGAGGCGAGCTACGTATGGAGCTGTCTGTGGACATAGTTAAGTCAGCAGTCAAAGAAGCTGTTAAAGATGGCTTGCCAAAAGATACACAAAAAATCATCACCGATGCCAATGGAAATGTAAGTATACAACCCCTCTGATCATTCAATCAGCTAATAATTTAAAAAAATACGCTTCTCTCATTAATTCCCAATGGAACATTTGAGAAATGTTGACACTCGTATTGATATATTTGACGGATCGTGTTTTTCATTCGCCATAACCAAAACTATTCTCTTTTTGATCTTTTCGTATTTATCACCTCAAGCCCGACTTGCATATCCCATATAAAACACCCGCATGGATATATGCATTTTTTGAAAGTTTCATATCTTCAAAACTGTAATACTTTACGAGATTATAGAAACACTGCCGTCAAACCCGATAATCGTCTATGATAGTTAGTAGTTTTCATTATTTTTGGTCTATTCAAAATTAGAAAATTGCAATGCTGCTTAGTGCTTAGCAAAGTTATTAACAAAAAAGTGCCGTACTTGAGAGGTTAATTTCGAGAATTAAATAAGAGTCGAATGTGAGTGCTATGGGCTCCTTATGCTGATATGATGTTGCTAACAGTAGCTTCATTCTTACTCATCTTGTATTATTCAACCGTTTCAATTTTTACTTGAAGAAAACTCCACTTCTCTCTGCTTCTGACGGTCCTTACACCAAAGTGAAGAAATCACAACAACTACTCGAAAAAACATGTGCATTTTCAATTACTTTTTGAGTGACAAAATGGATTATAACAAACTCATCAGTTCTAAACTCACAGAGACTTTAATTTGTCTTTCGAAATTCATAAGGTAATTTCGGAGATTCATTAAGGAAATTTCAAAAGAATGTTCCGGTGCTTCATTTTCCATGGATTATTAACACCAACTATTAGTGCTGTCAATTAGAAAATGAAGAGGAGCACCTGAAGAGGAGCACTTTGTGTTTTCGAAACGTTGGCAAAATAAAAGGAAAATTGAGACATTCAATTAGTTCTTTGTTCTTCACATTGGTGTGAGGACCGTCAGAAGCAGAGAGAAGTGGAGTTTTCTTCATTCTTACTCAATAATTTATCCCACACCAGACTTTCGATTCTAATATTTTCGTTTTTGGAATTTTGCAATTGAGAAGTGTGTGAAATTTGAAAAAAATCGAACCATATACTATTCTTCAGTTTTCTTGCTTTCATGGCATGGATTTCCAACTTTGCAACCGTATATTATTTTAGGTACCTATGCCCCATAATTTCTTCCTCCCATTAACCGAATACGTCAAAATGATGTCTCAAGAAACAGTACAAAAAAGAGTGAACTTACTTGTGGCGCATTATTGGGCGAAAGAGGAAAAAATGAATTGGTACATGGAGATAAAGCCTAATACCTTGAAAAGGAATCCTCAGGCTGAACTCATCCCATAGGGACAATTATCACTGCAAGGTACGAATCAAGTAATGTTTGTTTGAAAAATTTATCCATCTGTTTTTTCTGTACTCTTTATTTTCCTTATTCGCTCTAAATTGCTTTAGTTATGGTGATTTTTACTTTTTTCGTCAATAGATATTGTCTCAGCTACGCAAGAAATTAAGCCTCTGCCTGGCACCATCATCGTGAAGAAAAAACGAGGACAGAAGGGTCAAAAGAAGAATGAAAAAACGGAAACGAGAGAGGTTGCGTGGCCGGTTGCCTTCAAGGAGTATGTTAGACTGAAGCTGAATTCAGACAGATACCTGGATCATAAACTACTCCAAGAAGATTAATCGGTCACATTAAGCCAATCTCAATTATCATTATTATTATTTTATTGATTACGTATATCGTAATACCATGTTGGCATTATCTACTACTATTAAATTTCTTTGGTCTCTATAGGCATCAAGTGACAATTGGAAAAACACATTCACCGATTTTCGATTGATTCAAAACCTTTCTTCATTTATAATCGATCGACAGTTTCTCCATTATGATGTAATTTTTTTTTGTCTCGCTTCGCTCGTTTCGATCGCGGTTTATCGGGCTATGTAACAAAGGGGATTTTTCTCTGCTGTCATCAAATTATGTATAATCAAACTAATTCCCAGTCGATTACTCATTGATGGGTCAATATTTCCCTACAAATTTAAATAGCAATGAGAAAAACTGATTAATCGATTTACAGTTTGGAGAAGGCTTTCCTCACTTGTAATTAAGTGATGACCAACCTAGTTTTGAAGTTATTGTTGACTGATGGTCATACTCTTGTTGAAAATCAATACGTAATCAACAAATCTAAGAGCATGATTTCTTGTGCATTACACATCTCTCTTGACTCTGATCAAATCGTAATCAATTCGGAGATCAAGTCAACTACTGGTTAATGCATTGTTTTTAGTAGTAAAAATCAATATGCAACAGATAACTCTTATTAGTAGATCTTCAGTTTATCTCTTGTGGACTCTTCCCACTTGCAATCAAATGATAATTAACTAAATCCTTAATCCATCGCTTCTTGAGGGGTGATTTTTTTTTCAAAAATCAACAAGAAGTGGAGAAATTGTATTGGTCAATCATTTGTTGTTGACAAAATTCTCTCTCTTGCAATTAAGTCATAATCAATCAAATTTTCAATGGATTGCTGTTTCAGAGGTCATTCCCACTCAATAATCAACACGTAATCAAAACCTTCACCAGTCAATACCCAGTTGATCATAGACTTTTAGCACTTATAATCAAGTGATAATCAATCAAATTCTCAATTGGTTACTGCTTGAGCAGTGTTTTTCCTTTAACAATCAACATGCAATCGAAAAATCTTATTGATCAACTATTTGTTGATCACTAAGTTTTCTCCCTTGCAATCAACTCATGATCCACTTAATTTCTAATGAATCGCTGTTTCAGGGGTAATTTTTCTTCACCAATCAACACATAATCAACAAAACTGACAGGTTAATTAGTGGTTGATCACGGGTCTTTCTTACTTTCAATCTATTCGTAATATAACCCAGCTTCAGTCAACTATCGGTTGATTGCGGACTTTTTTCGCGGTGGTCAACGTATAATCAAAAAATCTCATCCATCGGTTACCCATAGATCCTGGCTATCTCCCATTTGTAATCAAGTTGTAATCAAATAAAATTTTTGATCGATTGCGAATTGATTGCAAACCTGCTAATCTGAAATCAACTCGCAATCAACAAATTTTTTCACTTGATTCCTAGTTGATCGATCCCACAAGTCATCCACATTGCCATCAACTGACACTCAACTCATGATCAACCGAGCGCACAGGTTGGTCACCCGTGATCAAATGATCCGTTAGGGTCGGCGTTGCAATAGTCATTTTCACTATTTTATGTTCAACTGCTAAATCTCTAGGCAAGTGTGTTCTACTGCGTTGTGTCCAACTGAATGTGTCCTACCGCACCCATCCCAATCGGGTCTTGCGTCAGAAAAGGGGTTTTACATCTGGTTCTGAAAAAGAGAATGAATAAGTTTAACAGAATTAACCTCAATTAAAAGAGATCAGAAAAAAGAAGAATACAATTAATATCACCAGAAAGATATCATTGATATTGAGGCAATATCATCCTGCGAATGAAGCTCCACATCGGGTCCAAGTTATGAATGGATTTTTTTCTGTTTTTTTACTGAAAATTATAATTAGAAGGATCATAAGCAAAATTAAAAACTTGAATATAAACGTGATAGACAAATGAACAGTTACTTTGCTGATTACTTTGCTGATTTACCTCATCCTCTTATTCATTCTCCGATTCAACTATGCATCTTACGGTCGGGGTTGGTCCAAGAAAACTAATCTGTGCTCCATGATATACATGCCATTCAAATATAATTGGAGAATCACCAACATAATGACGTTCCATCCAATGTTCATAATGAGTTGGCATCAAGGGCACAGCATTTCTTATATGTATGAACTGTTAAACAATATTAACAATTATATAATTAATAGCTTTCTTGCTTTTTTCTCATTCAACTGACTTGATCCGGAGAACGCCATAAATGAGCCATTATTTCCACGTCATAAACTTTAACTTTGAAATAATTTTTTCGTCGATCAGAATGTCCATTGAACAGAATGATCCCATGTATTGGTCTCCTATTCACAATTCTGAGTAAACGTAGCGCTGCTACCGTTCCTGTTAAACTTATGACATAATTTTTATTAATTATTCATTTTTTCGAGCAAAGTATTATACGATTCAAGTATATTACTTTCGTGGAGTTCCTTCGCGAATATTTCTAATTGTACAAGGATATTCAAGATTCATTTTCATTTTATCTTTTCCTCTATTTGAACCTAATATTCACAGTATTCTCTTTCTGTCCAAGGTCTAATCGAGCTGTAATATATTGGTCTGAAAAAGATATTCAATATTTAGTTACTCCATGCATGAATATAACATATTAAATGGAGCTATCAATTATAGTTATTTTTAGTTGAAAGAAACAAAATTTGCGGGTTTCTCTCACGTTGTATGATCTATTGTTCCAAATTTGTTGGTTTATGTCTTTGAAGTTCAGAAAATAATTCTAAATATTTTTTTCTTCCTATTTCCTCCCCAAAAGGGAAATTTGATTCATTCATTTACAAAATCTCACAATTTCCAATAATTAATTTGAAGGAATTTATTATTCTTCTTTTTGAAGAGCAAATATTTCATTTGGTGGTAGATGTATATAAGTTCTGCTAAGTTGATCTTTATACACAACCCACCATTCATATTCATCGATGGTAGGGTCTTCAAAAATTTCGTAGTGCCTTGTAACACAATATGTTTTTAGTGGAAATTCGCGTTCAATTATCAAGATCTATAGTAGGAATATATTTTTAACAATTGACAAATAGAAAATTCAGATACATATTCAGATACTATAGTAGACCGAATATCATTACTTGGTTGTCAATAACCTTACCAATCATTTCAAAAATGTTAATTTCTTTTGTGTCGTCTTCATATAGGATTATTTTATAGCGAATTTCACCGGAACGTAACAGAAAAGCATAACATCGTTTTTTATTGAAGGTATAAAACCCCATAGAAATGTCAGGTATTCCAATCAGCCTGTGAATTCAATTGGAAATATGAATAAGTTGATATGTAAATAATATATGTATCCTTGAATTACCGCATTGGAATTCCTTCTTGAATATTTTCGACTGGCGATGGATAACTAATGTCAGTACTCGTCATTTTCAACGAATTTCTTTGGCCTAAACAAGGAACAAAAAATCATATCTGAATAATCATATCCTGAATAATAGAATTTACAATTAGTATTTATAAGAAGAGCTCGAACCTTAACCTTTTCTTAATGAGGCATAACGAAAAATTTTCATAAGATCAAAATATCGATTTTTTTTTCATAAACAAATTTTAAGGCTTATTAATATTCTGTAGATACAGATTTATGCTATATCTCTTGTTGATTTTCTCTTTTTTATGGGTTGATCCCCGTATGATCTTTGTGGTCTCATTCCAACCGATCGTTTCCTTTTCAATCCTTGATTTTTCCGTCCTCTTCGGGAACGTTTCCGTCCTCTCTCATTTTCCTCATTTGTTTCTTTACAACAATTATTTCCATAATTCATTTTATTGAGAATTTTTTGGATCTGAACACGGCAAAATCTGAAGATTTTTCTTCCGATTATTTCGATGTACAGAGAGTAAAAAGTATAATATGAACCTTTGTGTTTCTTTTTTCTCAGTGTCTAGTTTTAATCCATTGACAAGCCTATCCACGAGACCTCTCATCCAGCCTTCATCATAAGCTTTTGCATTCTCATCCTAACATTGCAAATGATTGGACAGCATCGAATCCAAATCATCGTTGAGCACTTTTTCCGAAAGTATTGTTTACAGATAAATATATAAAGCAGAAATTGACAATATATTGACAATACATTAAAGAATCTTACAATGTCCCAGATCATCAATCTCCATTTCCATTCATTCAGCCGATTCATTAGTCATATTTATTTTCCTGTAAAATTGTCATATGGAATGAATAATGTAGGTAAATTTTGAATATATTCATACCATTCGATTCTAAAAATCTTTTTTTTAATCAAGCTTTGTATTTGATAAGCATTTCTTTGTTTCTTGATAAGCAAAATGCTTTCAATTTGAATAATTCCAAATTCCTAATAATATTGAATATATATTGAATACATACACTCGTCGTTAACATGACTCCCGATGCAACTTGATTTTCTTAAAAATCTCAGAATAAACGATGTTATGAATCTGATTTTTTTCTTTCTCATCGGTTTCACCGATGATTTTTATCTTTAATCCAGATAATGATCTACATCTCGATAGAGCCACATACGATTGTCCGTGACTAAAAATCGGCGATTTATTATCGAGATATATCCCAACTCGATCAAAAGATTGTCCTTGAGATTTGTTCATAGTCATAACAAAAACCAACCGAACTGGAAATTGAGTTCGATGTAAAATGAATGGCAGGTCAGTCTTATCTTTCGTATTCAATGTTATTTTCGGAATTGTCACAGAATCTCCAACTTTGTCTCCAGTTAGTATTGTGCAATAGAGAATTCTGGTCGTGATCCGTCTCACAATGAGTCTCGTTCCATTACAAAGACCATCTGCTATACATATGTTCCGTATTAGCATAACTACGGCCCCAATTATCAATCGTAATTTAAATTGAGGCAACCCTGAGATATTCAATTTATTTAGATATTCTGGCTGGAAACGTAACATAACGTCGTCGCCGTTGATTGCATCACTGACTTGA